CTCCACAACTAGACTGAAGAACAAAACAACAGCAACTTGTCTGTTCCCCTTCCCCCAATTCCCCAGTGCTGTTCCCATCCCCCAATTCCCCAATACAAATCTTTAAAAAAAAACAAAAAACTATCAGATATTTAGGATTAAATTTAACAAAATAAATGCACTAACTGAAAACTATGAAATATTACTAAAAGAAATTAAAGATAAATAAATGGATGAATAAGACATGCATTTTCTCAAAATTGATCTATAGATTCAACGTAATCCTAATCAACAGACTATAGTCTTTTTTTGGTAAAAACTAAAATTGATTCAAAAATTTACATAGAACTGCCAAGCACCTATAGTAGCTAAAACAATCTTGAAAAAAAGGACAATGTTGGAGAATTTACACTGCCTAATTCTAGTCTTATTATAAAACTACAGTAACCAAGACAACACAGTAGCTTAGGGACAGACAGATCAATGAAACAAAATTGGTCCACATATAAGCAGCCAACAGATTTTCAACAAAGGCCCTGAGGCATTTCAATGAATAGTACTGAAATAACCTGATAAACACATGGAAAAAACTTCTAAATATCTACCTCTACCTCATACATAAAGAACAATTAATTTTAGATGGATCACAGACCTAAATACAAGAGCAAAATCTATAAAGCTGCTAGAAAAAAATGAGAATATCTTTGTGACTTTAGTGTAGGCGAATATTCCTTACTATGCAAAAAACAACCTTAACTGTACATGAAAAAAATGATATAGTGCTCTTCATCAAAATTTAAAATGTATGCTCATCAAAACACAATGTTAAGAATATGAAAAAGCAAACTACAGCCAGGAGAAAGGATTCACAGTAATATATATATATAAAGCTTATATCCAGAATATATAAAGAATCCTACAAATAAATAATAAAAAAGACAAACAACTCAATTAAAAATGGGCAAAACTTTGAACAGAGACTTTAAAAATGAAGGTATATGAATAAGCAATAAGTACAAGACAATGTGGTTAACATTAATTATCAAGGAAATGCTAATTAAAACCACAATGTGACACCACTTCAAACCTACTAGACTAGCTAAAAATAACAAGACAACAAAATATTGGTAAAAATTAGGCAGAACTGGAACTCTTATACATTGCTAGTGGCGTTATGAAACGAAACAAACTTTTTGGAAATCATTTTGGTAGTTTCTTATAAAATTAAATATGCAATTATCCTCTAACCCAGCAATTCCACTCCTAGGCATTTCCCCAAGGCGAAAGAGAACATACTCCACAGATACACTTGTGTAGAATGTCTGTAGCAACTATTAACACAATAGCAAAACCTGGAAACAATCCAAATGTCTATCAAGAGGAGAATGACATTTGGTATATTCATACCATGGGCTATATTACTCAATATTTTTCAATAAGCATTGATAAGCACAACATGGCTTAACCTCAAAAACATGTTGAGTGAAAGAAGCCAGATTTTAAAAGAGCATATATTGTAAAATTACGTTTATATGAAGTTCAGTAAGAAACAAACACTAATCTACGATGATGGAAATCAGAATAGTGGTTGCCTATGTGGGGTGGGGACTGAGTGAGAGGAATATGAGGGAAGATTATTCTATATTTTGACTGGGATCATGGATACACTATGTAAACATTTGTCAAAATTTTTTGAATTATACACTTGAGAGCATTTCATTGTATGTAAATTTCATCTCAAGTTACCCTCAATTTAAAAAAAAAAAAGTTTAGATTGTTAAAGGATTTTCAGATCCCTGCATTAAAATGATTAAATTCCCAGGCTCATCTACAAATAACTGTCCTTATGATATACTTGGATTGTAGTAACTATAATACTCAACATCATTGTTCTGCTTACCAATTTTACTTATAAATGAATTGTTTAATTTATTATTGCCTCCAATAATGTTTTATGACTTCCTAAAAATCTCTATATAGGATTTTTCCTAATTTTATTTTACTTTTCCCTTTTTTTAATAAATGAGATTTACAACTGCATTTAATTGGGTTTAGGGTGCTTTAGGAATGATTTTTAAAAACTGAATGCTGTTTTATTATTTAATATGAAGCCATCAGACCTTGTATATTACAAGTACCTCATAGAATAAGATTCCACATGAATAGGTAAAAGCACGGGTACAAAAGATTTACCCATGACTCTGCTAAAACCTGATCCTGGAGTTCTGTGCCTTTCCTTGAGGCTATTTTCAGTGACGTCTTGATTCATCCAGATTTAAATCTCTCTTTTTTAATGGAGTTAGGAAGAGATAGTATCCAAGACAAAGGAAGCTTTTTATTAACTTCTGCTTTAAGCTGAACATTTTAATTTAGTTCCAGAACAAAAAACATTACGGAACAATGAATAAATCTGTAAGGGTAGACAGCAGGTCCTCGAATAGCATTGTTTCGTTATAATGCTTATGAGATGCCCAAGGAACTTAACTCTTTATATCAATTAGCCTGTGGTACATTTTGCTTAAAGTCACAGAACCTATTGATAATGTTAAGTGAAGTCTTATTGTATACTGCTTAATGTGCTTGCAAATTTTCTATTACAGAAGAAACAGACATCACTCCTGTGAGATACTATAGATTAAAAAAAAATACATTCTGGGTTAATTTCTAGTTAAAAAGTAGGCATTAAGACTGAGAAGCATCTCTTAGTCATGCAGGGTCCTGGGGTGTACCCTGCAGAGTCCTCCCCTGGTCTGTTACGTGAACTAGCACCCTCTGCCTGGCTCTCTCCCAGCTCCCACCTACCTAAGCAGTCTGTCTCCAAATCCACCCCTCAGCACCCTTCCGCCTCCCTGTCTGAGACACTACGCTCTCTTCCCACTAGTAAGCAACACCATATATCTAACTACCCAGGATCACAAAGAGATGGGTCATTGCTCCCAGCTCCCGTCTAAAAGGTATGCTTTGGGAAATGGGGTGGGTGTAGAGTCTAAATTGGGGTAAGACGCACATTAAAAAAAAAACACCTCACATAAACTTTATCAGCTCTAAAAACAATCAATTTGGGGGACTGGCAATTTCATCATTGTGGGGTAATTGTGCTCACACATGGCATTGCCTAGCAACAGAAAGAGCAGGCAAATCCCAACCTCGGGGTGTCACGAATCACTCCCTGACTACTGCTCACAAATGGTAATTTGATGGGAAGATATTCACATCTGGTTCAATTGGTAACAAGACTTGAGAGAATCCTGCGGACTCCAACTGAGAAAAGCTGCAGGTATCTCACCAAAAGCTGGGCTCCGGAACAAAGGAAACTATTCCTACTTATTCAGCTGCATGTATGCTTTTGTTTAAAAACCAAACAAACCATGAGATTTTGGTAGTCTTGTTGTCGGATGACATTTTGGGTTGGCTGTGCTCCAACTTCTACAGTTTCAAATATAGTTAATAAATAGGCACAGATATAAGAAGGTACATGTGACAAATAAACAATGGGATGATCAGGGTTGAACTAAATCCCTTTAGAAGCCTCAAAGAGACAGCCCAATATGCCCTAGAATCCACATGCTACTTCAAGCTCAGTGTTTTTGAATGAAGGTATAAAAAGAGTCCACGTACGAGCGAGATCTGTGTCTGGATCGCCTGTTGTTAGGGTCTGCCTGGTTTTTCTCCTTTTGTCTCCTTAATACAGCTTCCCACTGAGGAGCTGAATCAACCATATCGTTCTCCTGCCGTATTCTGAAAAGAAAGACCATTCATCTAAAGTTAACATCCACACATGTAGTGCTTTGTTTCTCAATTCGTCCTAAACTGGCTTTTAAATGATATTAAGAAGTTATCAAATAAGTTCTGTAAAAGTTATTAAGAAATAAAAAATTATTTAAGAAGCAAGAAAGCTGAGAATGTATTAAATGAATTAATATACCCATAATTATATACACATATAAACGTATGTATAATATTTATACTACACATAAGTATGTATTAGTTATTTTCAGACTTCTGTTAGCTTAAAATTTTCTAAGGAAATGATGTGTCAAACAAAAACTCACTTAAAACATAGTTTTAAGTTTTGGTTAAAAAAAACAGTAGTGTCTGCTATAGAGACAATCTTAAATCATGAAACAAAATCACTGTTTTAATACATGCTAATTGAAAAGGCAATAAATAATTTTACATTGAAACACTCTTTAAGAAAATCACACTGGGCCGGCCAAGTGGCGCATTGGTTAAAAGTTGGCTTGGGACATCAGCTTTGAGCAGCAGGGTCCCTGTTCGGATCCCACATATAAGGGCCAGTGACACTGTGCCCTCTACAGCTAAGATGGTGAACAACAGCTCAACCTGGAGCTGGTACTGTGAGTCGCTGGCGATGGCGTAGGCTGTAGCCCCTGCTGCAGTGGGCTACCATAAGCTACCATGTGTGGCTGGCAGCCTGCATGAGTGGCTGGCAGCCAGTGTGAGCTGCCAAGAGCCACCGTGAGCGGCCGTCCAGAGGCCAGTGACGGATCTGCCTCGCCCGGGAAGAGCGCAATGATAACACCAACATGGGCCAGTGAAGCAACGTCCTCCACAGCTAGACTGAAGAACAAAACAACAGCAACTTGTCTGTTACCTTTCCCTGATTCCCCAACGCAGTTCCCTACCCCAATTCTCCAATAAAATCTTTAAAAAAATAAAGGAATAAAAAAAAATCACACTAATTGTTAAGGTTTTCATGGAAAATAGGTGCCAGGTATAATTCCTCAATTTTTTAAGATAGAAAAGTAGTGGGCAGCTATGTGGCTCAGTAGGTTAGAGCGCATGCTCTGAACAACAAGGTTGCCAGTTCAATTCCCATATGGGCCAGTGAACTGCGCCCTCCGCAACTAGATTGAAAACAACAACTTGAGCTGAGCTGCCACTGAGCTGCCAGTGGGCGGCCGGATGGCTCAGTTGGTTTGGTTAGAGCACATGTCCTTAACAACAAGGTTGCCGGTTTGATTCCTGCATGGGATGGTGGGCTGCACCCCCCACAACTAGACTGAAAATGGCAACTGGACTTGGAGCTGGGCTGCACCCTCTACAACTAGGTTGAAGAACAATGACTTGACTTGGAGCTGATGGGTCCTGGAAAAAACACACAGTTAACCAATAAAAAGATAGAGAACTAGCCAGATGGTGACTGGACTTGGAGCTGAGCTAGCTGTGCTCTCCACAACTAAGATTGAAAGACAACAACTTGACTGTCCCCTTCCCCAATTCCCCAACTCCCCAATAAAACCTTTAAAAAAAAAAAAAAGAAAAGACAACTGGAAGTGCAAAGTTAAATTCAGTGGCATCACGCATGAGCAGCTGAGGACACACGCAGCGTTCTGGTTATGGGTACTCACAGGCTGAAGAGGGGATGAGGGTTGAGCACTCAGTGTGCCCAAGGGTCAAACAAGGAATGAAAACAATGAGACAGGAAATCCAACTGGGAGGGAACTGTGTAGCATAGGCACCTGTCAGGTGTGATCATGGGACAATGTCACCAAATCTCATTTTAGAAAAGATAATCCACAAATCTGGGTTTTTAAAGTGAACTCTTCCAATTTTTAAGGAATGGCAACCAATTTGGAACGTCAGAGTGCTGCACGGACCTAACAAAACCCATCATCCATGGACCACACTGCAGAAGTTTTGGACTTTTGCTGTATCAAGTCTTTCTAACAGGGAGGATGAGGTGTTCCAGGACAGAGGGGAAACAAGTACTTAATTAAAGCAAGTGCTTAATTCATGTGTGAATACTGTCTGGGATGCACTGCACCAATGCTGTGAAGCCATGAGTATTCCTTGCAAAAATCAAACACCTGTTATGTGAATATTTCACTTTTAATTGTGTTAGCTCTTCAGGAAATGGCTCCTGCGTGTTCATTTCACATGCTGATGCTCTTGGGGTGTGGTAAGCAGCAGGAAATTGCAAGGTAATCATCCCAGTACTGTGACTGTATGAGCATAACTGCTTCAAAACAAAAATGAAAAGAACAGGCAAATTTGGAGTCACTTTTCTCACTGAACAGATGTCTTTTGGTTGCCCAGTTAACAGCACTTAGCATAGACGGTGGCACGGATATCTGGATTTGCTTATAAATGCAAGCCAGTAGACAGGTGGCAAATATTCATTTCACATATAACTTAGAGACAATGGAAGGCAAATTCAAGTTTAATAGAACAAGCCTTTATAAGGAAAAAACTGTTTAAGTCTCTCTAGATTAAAGAGGAATTGTATTAAGTAAAAAATTATCTGTAACACACTTAAAGCCTTTGAACTGTATGCATTTCCTTGCTAAAGCTTTCATTTCTAATAGTCTATTTGAAAATTAACAGGATGTAGTCATGGTGTGTTAAACAGACTCAAGAACATAGTTCCCTCTCTCATGGCAAGGACAGAGGAAGTTAAAATTTAACATATACTGCTATGAACCTTAATAGTAGAAATATCTGAAGAAAAATACAAGAAGGTATACTATTTGAGGTAATCTTAATAATTATTGACAATTTTTTGAAACAAACACTCCCATTTGAAAATACCATGTGTCTGTGTATATGTGTGCGTACACAGAGGGTGTCAAAAAATGTATATACATTTTAAGAAAGGAAAAAAAACTGTATGAAAATTGTAATACTCAATATATACTGATAACAAAAGATGAATACAAGTCACGTTTGACTTCTGCAATTACAAGAGGTGTTCAAAGTGGTTACCATCAGCATCCAGGCACTTCTGATTATGGCGAACCACTGCTTGAGCAACATTGACCAAAGTGTCCACTTGTATCGCTGCACATGCCGTTTCAATTTCTTCACACAGTGCCATATATCTCAAACTTATCATGAATGTGTACAGTTGTTAGGCGTGTTGGAGGTTCTGTTGCATACTCATGCCTCCTTTGTTGTTGTACTTCCACAACGTTCTTGAATTTCAAACATCACTTTGAATTTCAAATACCATTTTGAATTTCAAAATGGTCTTGCGTGCTTCTGCCATTTTCTTTGATTGTCCTGCCTGTCGCATGGTGATGCCAGCATTCATTTGATTAATGCCATTGTTTTTGGTTTTTTTAAGATTTTTATTGGGGAATTGGAGGAGGGAACAGTGTTGGGGAATCGGGGAAGGGTAACAGACAAGTTGCTGTCCTTTTGTTCTTCGGTCTAGTTATGGAGGACATCGCTTCACTGGCCCATGTTGGTATTGTAATCATTGCACTCTTCCTGGGTGAGGCAGTTTCTCGCCGGCCACTGGACGGCTGCTCACAGCGGCTCACGGCAGCTCACACCAGCTGCCAGCCACTCACAGCAGCTATGGCAGCCCAATGCAGCCGTGCTGCAGCCTACACCATCACCGGCGACTCACAACAGCCCAGCTCCAGTTCAAGCTGTTGTTCATCATCTTAGCTGTAGAGGGCGCAGCGTCACTGGACCTCATGTGGGATCCAAACCAGGGCCCTGCTGCTCACAGCTGGTGTCCCAAGCCAACTCTTAACCAATGCGCCACTCGGCTGGCCCTAAACCATCTTTTGAGTGAATGTCATACTATACACATTGCTACCATAATTCAATTCAACTTCAAAAAGTAATACATAGATAACATCTCTTAAAATGTGTATACATTTTTTTGGCACCCCCGGTATACACACACATATTGGGTTATTGGAAAAGTCATGACATATTTTTCCTATGTTTTTCGTTGCAAAAATGCGTCATGACTTTTCCAACAACCCAACACATACATGTATTTTCATAGAGAGAAGCTCCATCTCCAAGCCACCCTGTGTATCACGTGTTGGCCCTCTTGGGGAGCAGTCCCAGACACCCCCAGGACTGAGGGATCCAAAGTTAGGAAGAAATAGTCAATGGGAAAATATCAGGCTGGCAAGGAAGCATCTCCCCTCCCCCAGGATCTCACACCTCACACTGCCCAGGGATAGACATAAAACCTGGGTCTTCTAGACTATAGCTTCCATTCTGAACTAAATCACTGCATCGTTCATCGGAGGACTAAATTTTGAAATGCTAATTTTTTAATCAGGAAGTCAGCATCTTTAAATATTTCTGAGAGGGCAAACCTACGAGCAAGGCTGAGGCCTGACTTAGGCAAACATACTTTTCCCAGAGGACAGATGTTTGAAAGGAAGCACAATTCGTGTACGCTCCATTCTCTATCGTGGAATTTAGCAGGTTACCTTCATACTCAGACTTGACCCTGATGATAAGAAATGAAAACTCCTGAGACATGAGCACACAGAGGTCCTGTACCTTGCTAGTAATAAGAAATACATCAGAAAGCATTTCAGACGATGGAGTGTACCTTTAACTTTTTTCTAAAGGTCTAAAGTGAGGGCCATAAAACCCTGTCAGTTAATGTCATGTGACCCACGTTTCTAAGACAGATGCCCTCTGCTGGTGATGCTGTTTCATAAATAATCTAACAAGGTGCATTAAAAATGTAAGGCTCATGGGAGAGTCACAACAGAAGACATCTATCTGAGTGATGGCGGTGTGGCTGCTTCAGTTGGTAATGAAGTTTGAAATTACACCCTCACAAAAGGCCTCGAGTTAATGGTGCCTCATTACAAGAATGAAAGTGTCATTTCTTCCGTCGATGAACTGCTCCAGAAAATACAGGTGCTACATGGAAAGGAAAAATCCTAGCTCTGGAAGCAAGACTATTGCAACGCACAGGTGCTTAGGAGGCAGGAGTTGACTGTTTATGTATGAGTGAATAAAAACCTTTAGATGTAAGTCTCACTTAGCCTTACATGTGGGATATACAAGTGTTTTTTGCTCCTTTCCTGCTATATTTTAATTTTGATGTTGGGATTTATATTAAGAAGAATAACGACACTGTGAGCATTATACAGACATAGCACCTTTTAAAAAGGCAAAGGGTGTTCTCACATCACAGTCAAGGAAATCACAAGAGGGAAAAACAAGTCCATTGTAAAAATTATGTTGAGGATGTATTCATTATCTAATGTTGCATGTAAGTGAACCTCAAAAATGCTAAGTATCTCTTTCCTGTATTCTTACATGCAATACCCATATATTTCATCATATTTTGTCTATTTCCTCATCTACAACTATGGAGAGTTAATAGTTGAAGTAGGGAGCTTTATCATAACAAGACTTTTGTTTTTTAGCATATAAAGAAGAGGGTTGCTTCAGAATAGAACACACTTCAATGATGTTTCAGAAAGGAGAAGGCTAATATATTTCCTCCATTTTGCACCAAACTTTTCCAGACTATGCATGCAATTTCGATTTTAACTGCACTTGACACTTAATTAAAGTCTGTAAAAGGTTTTGAAGATGAAATGCCATATAATCGTTTGATAACAGTAATGAAGATAATGACTATTCCTAGTCTCTTCGTTCCTGCCTTCCCAATTATAGTTCTGCCTCTTCGGCAGAATTCTTCATATTAAATGAATTCTTACACAAACCCCTTGGGCTTTACTTTGCCTTCTACCTTTTATCCGGGCAGTTTTGTTCCTAATAGGACCTTCCTTTACACCAATTCTCAATTCACTTCTCATTTACTGAGATAAAGACCATGTTTAATGCTGAACCTGAGAAACCTTTTACAGAGCAAGTGCATAATGAAACTTCAAGATGACATAAGCAATACACGGCCCTCCTGAGTTACCCCTGGTCCCAGCTCTGCTGTTAGCTGGGTGTATTGCTTATCTTCCTTGGTCAGGCCTCTGACCAAAATTTTTTCATCTCCTGAATTACTGTGAAGATCCTTTTTTAACTTTAAAAAGTCATGTTTCTCTATTTGGGTTTTATTTGCAAGCCAGTTAGCCACATTGAAACAAACCTCTCCTCTTCAGCTATGGAACAGTTTTCCAGACAATTGCTTCATATAGTCACTCCATTGCTAATATTAAGTCTGCAGGTCCCAACTGATTGTAGACTTGTGCTTCTCATCAAATGCACTCATTTTTGGATCACCTGCTATAAACCAATCTTTTTTTTTTTTCAGTAGTTTTCCTTCCCTAGGGAAATTTATGTTGGTTCCAGGCATCTGTCAACATGTTCCCTGAAGACCAGCAAGCAAAAAATTCATTTGCTTTTCCCATCCTTCCCCTTCCATCAATAAATTATCCTTATTTGCTCTTAAAAGTGGCTTCTGTCTCTTCCACTTATTCTTCATGCTCTCCCTACAAAATTGGCTACCTTGGTGCAATTTCCCTTTCAAACTCCCCTTCTGTTTTCCTAATTTTTCAACATGCTTTTCCCTCACTCAGTAATCTCCTGGCATCCCTCAGTTGCTGCAGCTTTACACTTCCAGTTATCTCTGTCAACTTTGATTATGCTCTGGAAGCCCTAAATCATCCATATCAAATGTTTAAATCTTGAGATGACTTAATAAAGTGGAAATTAGAAACCCTTGCAATATGTAGCATGGTGATTATTGTCTGTTCCCATTGACTTTGTATGAGCTGCTCTCTCCAGACCCACAATTTTTACCTTGTTTGCAGCCCCTACCTAAATCAGAAACAGGGCAGGAGGGAATGCTTGCAAGAAAAGTTACCTATTTTCAGGCTATCTAGAAAAAATGCCCCACTGGTTTAAGCTTCCTATCATCCAAAACACACTTTTTGTTTTCCCTAGGGCACAAGAACAATAAAGTTGTTTTGTTTTTTTTAAAAAAACAACAACACTCTAACACCCACAAAACCCTACCAAAATCATGATCATCTAGATTTTCCCTAATTAGATGTATTGTCCCTGCTAGTTGTAGTGTCAAAAAGTAGTTTCTTCTTTTTTTGTTAAGGAAAATAATCTAAAAGACTTTGTGAAACATACTTAACATACTTAAAAACCATTTTTATCCATTATTCAGATACAGATTCTAAACGACATCTCAAAGGCAGAAAGACACTAACAAAATTTGTGGCAGCGCAAATTCATGTTAGAAACACTAACATCTTTTTTTGTTAAAGGGAGCTAGGCCCTGTTTTACACATACAATAGGGACTTCAGATGACAAGGAGCAGCGCTGACTATTCTCATTCATCTAATAGTACCTGCCTATGCATGGGCACTTTCTAGTTTTCAAAGCACCTCCATTATCTCCTGGATGTTTACAGGCCTCTTGTAAGGCAGTCAGGACAGGTATGGTTCCCCTTCGCATGTGAGAAAAGTAAGATTCAGAGGGTAACCAGCTTCCAGCCACAGAGCTCTGCAAAGAAGGGTCAAATTCAAATTCCTAATGTAGGCTCCCTAATTCTTTGTCCTGTGGTCCACTGCACTGGCATGGGCACACATGTGCACACACACAGCCTCACGTACTTAACTCACGGATCTTCGATGCAAACGTCCCAGGATTAGGGAAAGGTCCAAACAGTCCCCTGTTGCCAATTTACTCTCATCCTGCTCTTACCCCAGATTCTCTCATTTCTCTAATTCTTTTAATCCTGGCCAAACTCCAGAGTTACTTTCACTTTTATGCTTATGCTAAAAACACCAGACTACTTCCCTGAGTCACTGCTCCCTACTCCCTCCAAATCTCCCCCTTCAAAATCCTAAAAGCCCAGCCACACATCAAAGCGAATGATTGAGTAATCCACAGATTCTCCTGGGTGAATGCTCAAAGGACTGCTGATTTTCATCAAGAGCACAAACAATGTTTTACAGGCTGATTTCTTTGAATGTGAAGAATGTTTTATTAAGCTCCAGGTATTTTCAGGGACAACTGGTTTGTGAAAGGTTTCCCTCTGATGCATCCACTTCCTAGATTCTCGCTCCACATATACCCTGGGCAAGTCAGTAGCACGGCCCATAGGCCATGAGTGTAATCAAACTTGTAGAGACAAGCTGGCTGATCCTTCTGATCTTAAGTACAAGAGTCAAAATTCTACCTAGTGGAAACTAATACAATCTAATATTCACATAGTTCATTAACTTCATACCGCCTTGCACTTGGTAGGTTCCCAATCTGATGAATTGAATTGAACCAACTTTCAGAAATCGGTATAGCAAAGTAATTTCTAAAGAAAATTTAAGCATTTCAGGGGCAGCCAGTTAGCTCAGATGGTTAGAGTGCAGGCTCATTACACCAAGGTTGCCGGTTCAATTCCCACATGGACCAAGGAGCTGCGTCCTCCACAACTAGATTGAAACAACTACTTGACTTGGAGCTGATGGGTCCTGGAATAACACACTGTTCCCCAATTTAAAAAAAAAAAAGAAGAAAAAGAAAATTTAAACATTTTAGTTTTTAATCCTACCAGTGAAATGAAATACCAATTTCATTTTCCAATATCAATCTGTTCCTTCACTATTTAAATGATGACCATAACTTTTCTGGGGTCACACAGATATCCCCTTAAGGATCTGATAAAAGCTATAGACCCTCTCACCAGAAAATTGTACACTCAGAAATAGAGAGGCTCAAAAGAAATAATTTCATGGGGTTATGAGACCCCTAAAACCTATCCATGAATCAGAGGATAAAAATGACTGGTCTAGAAATACAAAAGTGTAAAGGTAGGGAAGTTGGAAGAATGGAATACAGAACAAAAAGTAGAAAAAGCTAGAAAGGGGGTGGAAGATATGTGGAACAGGCAAAGAAGAGGCAGTAACTTCAGAATTAGGTATCATACAGGTGACCGGTTAGCTCAGTTGGTTAGAGCATGGTGCTGATAATGCCAAGGTTGCCAGTTCGATCCCTGCATGGGCCACTCTGAGCTATGCCCTCCTTAAAAGAGTCAACTATGCCACTGTAGCATGAAAGCAATGTGTAACCAATGACCATGGCTGTCTCCATCCCCCCCAAAAAAAACTGGATATCATACTGTGTGGTTTTATACCCCAAGGCGCTTTCACCTCTTAGATTTCATTTGATCTTTATAGTAATTCATTCAACAAATAGGTCATATTACATCCCACTTTAAAGATGAGAAAATTAAGATTTAAATTGGTTTAAGAGTTGCCCAAGGTGAAATATATCAGTACATTGCAGAATCAAGACCCTGACCCACATCCTCGAGTTTGTCTTTTTTTTTTTTGACATATCATTGGCTTTTTTCTTTTTAGTTGAGCCATCCTGCCACTCAGCGGCAGCTCAGCTCGGGCTGGGAATTGAACTGGCGACCCTGTTGCTCAGAGCTTGCACTCTTGAGTGAGCTCTTAACCAGCTGAACCACTTGGCCGGCCCTCACATCATTGGCTTTTAAGTGTAGATGGAATTCAGAAAAGACTGAAGGAAGGAAGGAGAAGTGGGAAAGAAGCTAAGAAAAGAAAGAGAAAGGACCTGAGTGAGGAAAAATAATGTGATAGAAAGATTAAAAAGGGAGGCAAGAGAATAGAAAAGAAGGTGAGGGCATAAGCAGAGACACTAAGGGGGAAAAATGGACTTGCTGTCATCTTAGATGTTATAACAAGAAACTGTGTTCCAACTTCCAGTTTTTATAAAAAGGGAGTGAAAAGCTGTCTTTTCAAATCTCAAAATTTAGAAAGCTGCGGGATACTCATCCAGATTATGAAAGTACTAAAGAAAGTACAACTAAAGTGGAAAGGACTTAAAAAAAAAATAAAAAAGACATAAAACAATTCCCCCCGAATAGGAGGAGGCTGCGGTGTTGTAGGAAACCGTGGGGAATAAAATCTTAGTTAAAGCACAACTGAGGCACACATGTCGCCTCAACAGCTCTGGACCCAAAGGTGAGGGGGGAGGTGAGGTGCTTATTTACAATTACATTTTTCTAAAATTGAAACTAAACAATAATCCTTGTTTCTAACATTAGCCTGCCAGACTTGATGTGGATTATAGCTTTTCTTTTAATGGTTGTTAGAAGCCACAGCTACTGCTTTGGATAAAGTTGATTTGTAAATGTTGCTTTAACTTTTCTTTCTCCTCCAACAAAATGAGAGACGTTTAAATCGCTATCCATGGGAACGGCAAAGCAGTTTAAGATCCAATGGGTAGACTTTGTGGAAAGAGTATCTTCCACAGAGTGACCGACATCTAACAGGAAAGGCTTCCTTATGTTTAAAAAATTCAGCGAGGAGGTGTGGCAAAGGGAACAACATCCTGAAGACCACACACAATCTCCAGAAAGTAAACCCAACTGTCCAGATTCCACTGGACACATCATAGGCTTCAAAACAGAGTCTGAAAAGCAGGTCTGCACAGTCTTCACCCCTCTGCCTCAGGCTCCAGTTCCCAATGGGAGCCGGGGAAGCAGGCTGCGTGGGGTGCAGGCTCTGGTTTCCAAAGTAATGAAGCATCCGGGGCTGAATTTAGAGACCTTGCTGGCAGGAAGCAGAACATCAGCACGTTCAAGATTCAGCTTGTCCCATTCTAGAGTTACAAGAGTCCTTTAATAAAAGCACAAAGGATGCTGTGGAGAGCTTGGCTGGGTCACACTGTTACTGAGATAAGGGAGGGCAGATGAAGTTAAAAGAGATTCATCCTCTCCCCCAAAACAGAGTCTTTTGCACAAGGAGCAAGTCAGGCATCAGGAGACAATCCCTGATCACAGACAGAAGACATATTGGGACCTACAGCAGGGCTGCAGTTTAAATATTCAGACCTATGTGGAATTAGTGGGTTCTGGACAAATTTAAAAGGCTAATAAGGGGGCAGAGGGGTTAGTGGTAGCATAGCATAATAGGTAAGTGGCATCCAGAGGCAGTCATGTGTTTGCAGCCTCTACCTGCACTCACTGTCGCCTGCTGCACGAGAATTTTCAGGAGTGGGGATTGGAACTAGAAGACTTATTTCTTCCTCTGCTCACTTTTTCTATGCCCCTGAGAGCTAGACTCTAGGACCTTACCTGCTACAGACACAGGAAACTTATGAAACCCTAGAGCAATATTTCTGCAGGTAAAAATAAATGAGTTTGAAAGCCTTTGTGTCAGAGTGTATTTGGAAAGTGATTTCTCATTAATAGCCTTACAAAGCGCATTAGTTTTAAACATTCAGAACCACCATCACTCTAAAACATACTACTTATATAATACCCAGAAATCCAAGCTAAAAAATTGCTCATGGGAAGGGGTAGGGGTGCAACTATTGAGGGAGAAAACGCCTACAAGGAATACTGAAGCCAGTGCAACTAGATCAGTAATGAGCTATTTAAGGATGTGTTGGCAACCTTTAGAGAGTGCTTCATTTTTTTTTTTAAAGATTTTATTGGGGAATTGGGGGAGGGGAACAGTGTTGGGGAATTGGGGAAGGGGAACAGACAAGGTGTTGTTCTTCAGTCTTTGTTGTGGAGGGCGCCAGTCGTCATTTGGCTGCCCGTCGGCAGCTTGTGGCCTTTAAGCTCAAGGTGCTGTGTTCAATCTTAGTTGCGAGTGGGCGTAGCCACTATCCCACGTGGAAGTTGAACCAGCCGCCTGGTTGTTAAGAGCACATGCTCTATCCACTGAGCCATCCGGAAGGCAGCTCAGCTCAAGTTGTTGAGCTCAGTCTTAGTTGTGCATGGGC